AGTATCAAAAAGACAGAGAACAACAAATGCTGGTGAGGACGTGGAGAAAGAGGATCCCTCCTACGCTGTTGGTGGGATTGTAAATTAGTGCAGCCATTGTGGAAAACAGAATGGAGATTCCTCTAACAACTACAGATAGAACTGCCATTTGGTCCAGCAATCCCACTTCTGGGTATATACCCAAAGGAATGGAAATCATGTGGAAGGGATAACTCCACTCCCAAGTTTATCACAGCTCTATCTACAATAGATAAAAGTTGGAACCAATCTCAGTGTCCATTGATGGATGACTAGATAAGGAAAATGTGGTATATATACATAATGGAATACTACTCAGGGATAACTGCACTCCCAAGTTTATCACAGCTCTATCTACAATAGATAAAAGTTGGAACAATCTCAATGTCCATTGATGGATGACTAGATAAGGAAAATGTGGTATATATACATAATGGAATACTACTCTGCCATAAAAAGGAATGAAATTCTGCCATTCACAGCAACATGGATGAACTTAGAGAAAATTAAGTTAAGTGAAATAAGCTAGGTGCAGAAAGAGAAATACTATATGTCCTCACTCATAAGTGGGAGCTGATAAAAAAAGACATAAAAAGAAAGAAAGATACAACAATCACAGTAATTCATTGAACTTTTAAAAGGAGAGAACAAAACTGAGGCAACCATAGGTAGGAAAACGGGAGGGGGAGCAGGGGTTAGGGAGAAATTGGTAAAGGGCCACAAAAAAAGGCCCATAATGATAAAACAAAAAGAAAAAAAGAAAAAAAATTCATTATTTAAAAAAAAAACAAAAACCAAACCAAAACTAAACAAAATAAAAATAATTTCCATATCATCAAAAAAACCCCCAAAACAAAATTCTTATGTTGAAATCTATTCCCCAATGTGTTGGTAGTAAGGTGTGGAGCCTTTAGGAGGTGACCAGGTCATGAGGGCAGAGCTTTCATGAATGGGATTAATGCCCTTATGAAGGAGGGCCTCCAGAACTGTAAGAAAAAATTTCTGTGTTTATAATTTACCCAGTCTAAGTTATTTTTTTTATAGCAGCCTGAATGGACTAAGACATATGGGAAATGCATAAAGTGGATTATAAAACAGGGATGAAAATCATGTTCTTAAATTTGCCTATTCTAGATATCTCATAAAAGTGTAATTATATAATATTTGTCCTTTTGTGTGTGGCTTATTTCATAAAACATAAAAGAAAAGAAAATCATGTTCTTAAACAATTTAGTAATATAAAAAATGTTGATGAGGTAATTTAAATGAAATAACTACAATGAAGAACTGCGTATATAATGTGTTTACATATACATCTATATATGTTAATACATATTTATAAATACATAGAAAGCACACAAAAATATTTGAGGTATATATCCTTGAGTTCTAACATTAGGTATTTCTGGGTGGTGGGATTACAAATGATTTCAACTTTTCCTTCGGTTTTAATTACTTGCATATTTCCTCAAGGAAGTTGTATGAATTTATAATTAAAGTTTTAAAAGACATTCTTCAACTTACACTTTATTTGATTATATACATATATAGGTTAAAACTATGCTCTCAGTCCTTCATGAACTTACCCACTTTCCCAACCTCCTACATTTTCTCACCATTCCCACATGTACATCTCTGCTAATGTAATTGTTAATACATTACTTGTTGCATTACTTCTTATATTGAAATAATAAATTATAACATTTGCATACAATTTGAACCCAAATTTAGAATATTTATTTTGGCCAAACCCTATGGTGAACTGGTTTCAAAGTTCACTGACTGGTGTGTTTACCTTTCTTTCTGTCCTGTTTTAATCTGAGCATTTTTACTCCTTATGGCTTTGTGTTTTTTTTAAAAAATTATAGAAGTTATCTCTCTTTCTCTCCTATTGCATATAAGCAGTCTCCTGAAATTGTCTTCTGGTTCCTGTATTAACTCATTTTCATTGCCATATTCTGAGTCTTCAGGATTATTTTCTTCTCACTTTGAGCAGTAATGTTTTTGCAAGGATCCTGTATTTTTTTAATTTTGTTTAACTTCACTCATCTTTTAAAGAGAAGAAATGTATCTAAATCAGGTATTTCTCTAGGCAAGTTTTGTGACTTGTTCTTGAATAGCACATACAGACTTTCAGCTTGAGAACAGGATAATGTATGCATAAGCATCTAATATTCTCTTCTGAAGTAAGAGAAGATTTTCTGGCTTAACCTAGCTTCTGTTTCTATTTTTATTGTCTTTGAGTCACTGTCACTTTGTTTTCGTTGTTACTGTTGTTTTTATTCTCTCTGTCTGTATGTGTGTTTTTTACAGTGGCAAAACATGATCTCTTTATATCATGTATAACTCCAGGAATTTTTCTCTCTGTCTCAAAGAGCAGCACTTTACTTTGGAGATTATAGCCAGATGATTGGATCTATTATTTTGTAGGTTTTTAAAAATTATTTTCTTTTTTCTTTTTTTTAATCTACTATTCAATATTCCTCTTTGCTTTCTATCTTATTGTTTTCTGGTAGTTGCTTCCCACAATAAATGTAGAAAGATATCAATATTTTGAAAGATGAGCCAGTATTATTAAAGTTACTACAAAATGTAGAGACGTGGTAAGGCAAGATGTCTATTTTTTTTCAGTAATATAATTCTGTGTGATTGAGGCAAAGGAAAGATATTAATGGTAAAGATGTGACGAAGCATCTTCTTTGCCCTGATTGAGGCAGAAGAGGCCATTGATTATATTTCTAAATCCACTCTATTATTCTTGAACTGTGTAGACATTTCTTCAACATTCTGGTAGTATAGTTGGCTCTCAGTTCTGTTTTGCAGAAATAGGAAAGTTGAGAGAGACACAGTGTTAATTTAAAGCACCTTTAGTTATTACTTGTGTGTCTTTTGTAAGATTTTTATCTTCACCTGCCTGTATGCCCATTGAAGTTGAAAATGTTGTCTTATTTTAAAATAACATAGAGTTAAATTATATACTTGGGTAGAAAACTTGAAATAGAAATTCCCAGTTATACGTATACTAGTTACCTGCACAGTGTTTACCACCTCCCGTGTATGGTGGGATGCACGCGCACATGTAGGATCCATTTGTATTCAGGCAAGAAGCATGCTCACTACAATCTGATCCAACCGCACACTCATCAACATCTAAAATGAAGACAAGCTTACAAATATTAAAGTTGATTCATTTTTCTTACATATCAAACATTTGTTTTAGCTTTTAAATCATTACATATCATGTAATGCATTACACTATATATACATTTATAAAATGTAAATATAACAGTCATAATCACATTGCAGATATCCCATAAAAGCTATTATTTCCCGAGTTTATAGGTGGGCAAGTAGAAAAGAGAGAGATAAAGATAATCTTCATATTGAGCCTGATAAAAATTTAAAGCAGTTTTGGCACCTCTATGAACAGCTGCTTTGTCACTATGGCTTACCCAAGCTTACTGGGGTGAGATGAAGTTAACAAAAAAATGCCAAGAGACTCTCAGGAATTTAGGGCAATTGTCTCTCATAGAGCTAGGATAAATTTATGCAATAATTGCCAACATTTATCTCACCAAGGCATGATGGAGAAATGCCATTCCAGCTCCCATTATCTGTACAAAACATCCTTGAATCACCCAACAAATAATAGCCATTGTTGCATTGGTAGGTTACTGTACTGCCAGCATGGAAGTCCTCAGCTGAATAAAAGCCATTCTCCAAAGCAGGTGGCACCCCACAGCTAATGCCTGTAATGTGACCAGAAAAAACACAACTACATTAGGAGCAAAATACTCAAAGGGTGTTTCGTTTATATTAAACTAGTAGTTCAGTTAAGCATGAATTTTTCATTGTATTGAGGAGCACTCTAGGGGTGGTAACTGTAGCCATATGTGTACCCTCAGAATCTAGCTCATTGTCTGGTACATAGTAGGCATGATATTCATTCATTCACAAAACATTTATGGAGGTCCTATTACCCATTAGACAATGTCCTAAGTGCTGATGTTATAGCAAAAAACCAAACAGACAAATCCCTGCCTTGAGAAGCTTACTATCTGGAGGAGCGGATAGGCAAGGAACAGATAAATACATGTTATGTCAGGTGGTAACAGGTGCTGAGCCCTATCTAAAATAGCAGTCTTGCCTCCACCCAATCCCCTCACTTTGTATTTTCCTAACCTGCTCTATTTTTTTTCATAGCCCTTACTGTTATTATTTATTATAAATAAATATTATATTTACTTTATTTTTTGTCTCTCTCACTAGAGCATAAACTCCATAAGAACAGGGACTTTTTTTTTTCAACTGCTGCATCTCCAAAACTTAGATCAATGCCCAGTACATAGTAGGTACTTTAAAAATTGTTGAATCAATGGATGCATGGATACACTCAATTCAAGAGATCTCTTCCTGTTTTCCCACCCAGCAATGACCCATCTCCCTCCAGGACTCCAGCCTACACTGCCTGTCTTTCCCTCACATGCAGTTCCTGTGCCACTGCAGACGCACTGACAAGTGATCTCTATGGATCTTCATCACCCACCTCCCTCATGGTGCCAAGCACAGTTCATTACACAAAGGCAGGATTCAATGAGTATTTGCTAGATTGGCTACTGTGAAGTATTTAGCTTTTGTCTAGCATTCCTCAAAAGTGTTCTTATGGTTCCGATATTTTTCAAGAGCTACTGAAATGACTTCAACAAAGGCAGCTCACGTTCACAATGAGGAAGTGGTTGTGTCCAATGTCCTTGATTCAGACAGTACTGCACCGGATTCCCGACCATCTGGAAGCCTGGATCACAGAACAGAAGGGCTTTGGAGCCTGGTTTTAAATTTACTGATGCAGTTCGCAGATGAGGTACTGATCCTTCTAAAGGTGGGCAATCTGCGGGCAAAGAACACAGGTGCAGAGCTTGTCACCCACACGGTGGCAGCATCACCAAGTCCAGGGTTTCAAATTGTACTTTCTACCAGCATGTGAGAGCCATTAAACAAGTTAGCAGGTAACCAGATCACTGGTAAGCAAAGTTATTTAAAAAACTACCCGAGTCAACAAACAACTTTCCCTCTTTCTACAAAAGTCTGCTGAAAATTATTTCTTGAAAAAAATGGTATTTTACAAACATTAACAAAATGCCCTTGTAGGTTACCAACAGCCACAAAGTCTAGGACATTTTAAGGAACTCTTTAAATAAGTGTAATTTTATGAGACAGTTTTGATCACTCCAAGTTTGACTATTCAGTGTGGGGTTTGCTTTATCCATTGCTTTTCTCCCTGTGCTACCTGTTCCTAGATGGGTGCTAGAAAGCACAGAACTAAAAGAGTACCCCATCTCAAACTGGAGCATAGGATGGTGGGAGGCATTTTAAAAATTAATCTTGTCCCTTCTCTCACCCTCTCTTTCTAATCTTGTTTTACCTTTATCCAAATTTCCTCCCCAATTAACTCGTACCCTGTTATACAGAGCGTATTTCAGCATTAAAAAAATAAATCCTTTCAATGAAGGTAGCATAAATATGGATTACTAGTTAAAGGGCAGATTGATAGAAACATGAGATTTGACCAATAGAGAGTTTTGGATTGTCTTCTTTTGCTAGAAAGATCCAGGCTAGTCAAGAAATTGTAAAGTCTACAGAAGAAGGAAATTCTCACCAGAACAGAATATGCTGTTGGAGTCGATTTTCACTTTCCCCACAATTCCCGACAAGAAATCAGGCCAGGCTAACACATTCCCTCTTCTGAGTTCCTCTGGGCAGGACGTAGCTAGTGATTTCACCTGGAAGTTCAAAAACCCCATCTTTAGATAAGCCTTATTTGTGCCACCAAGATCGAGTTATTTTATCTTAATTTAGTCGGGATGAAACATTCGCAGATTGTTGGAGGGTTGGGGTGGAGGGAAGCAGAATTTTGCATGGTGTGATTCCAGGGACAACAAGAAAATTCTCTTCCCTCTCTCCCACACCCCTTACTCGCTCTCCCCAATATTTCTCCCCCTAGACTCCTTGTTGACTGAAAGTTTGAAATCCTATGCACAGAATTTCTTGTCTAAAGCTTTGCAGTTTGTTAAGGGGTTGTAGAAGCTCCCCATCTCCACTCTATGTCTTTGACCTCTGACATAGAGTTGAGGAAACCGAGGCTTAGAGAAGTTCTGCCACTTTAATAATAAGAGAGAACATTTATCAAGTCCCTACAATGCCCTAAACGCTACTACGAATGTATGGTATTTGCCATGTTTTGTTCAGTCCAATCAAAATTCCACTATGTAGTTCTATTTATCTATCTTGTCTAGATAAGAACACTGAAGCTTGGAGAGGTGGAGTAATATGTTCAGAATCATCACAGCGAGTTCGTGGTAGAACTGGGATTTGAACCCTGGCTGTTTGATTCCACATGGGCTTTAACCACGAGCTCATCTGTTGGTTTTTATGGATGATCTGGTGCCAGTCCTAAGTTTCTGCATCTTTAGTCAGAGGGATTTGAAGTATTAGTCTCTAGGATTCTTTCCAGTTCTGAAATTACAAGATTTTACAAAATAATCATTTCCAATAAAATTTAAGAATATCACCAAGAAACTGAAAAGGACGTTCATTGAAAATTACTGTAGATCACTTCTGCCTAACTCAGTCTACAACCATAGCATCAAATGATATTGGTGATAAATTCTGATAGCCAAGAGCTTACAAAAAGATACGTCATCATTAGGCTGTTCACATATTTACTGGGTTTGTACCTTTGAATCTCATTACTGTCATACACTGAAAATGGAATTGACCTGCTGTGGAGACAGGACATAGTCCCAGAGGTTGAGCTGGCTCAGGGAGCCCACAAAAGACTCAGCGGGGTTGAATCCCTCTCCTTTTTTGTCTTGTTCTTGCCCAAGAACTAATGCACCACCACCTAAAGAGAGAGAAAGAGAGAAATAAGTAGGGAAACTGTCCTGATGGTCTGTTATTCCTAAAATACATACTTAATGAAACCATGGCCAATATAAATATATGAAAGAAAATGATTGAAAAGCTAAATCGTGTAAATATACTGCATGTTCTATCAATAGAAACAAATTCAGTGTTTTATATAGCAACTTAAAAATAGTCGGATAGGGTTTAGAATATTTTATTGGATTTAGAAATATGTAACTATAAAAACTACATATAATACGTATATATACACATCATATTTTATGTCGACAAAATAGGTAAGTCCTGTTTTGCTTACTTTCTTCTAGGAAATTACCTTCCAGGGCAGACTACCAGTAGCTGCTCTTCATTTTTCTTATTTCTTAGGCTACAATGCTATAATTTCTTTTTTTTCATTTTTTTAATTCAAAATATTTTAACATTTACTTGTACATATTTGTGGGGTACAGAATGTTGTTTCAATATGTACATATACTGCACAATGATTCACTTAGGGTAGATATGCTGTAATCTCTATTACTAATTCCAGGGAAAGTTGTCAGTGGTCTCCTAATTGTCAAATCCAAAGGAAACTCCAGTATTCATCCCTCATGACTTCTCTGTATTATTCGAGCATTTCATTCTATTAAACTTCCCCTCCTAGGTGTGCCAGAGGGTCTGAGTTGCTCTCCGGATCTATCATCCACACTTCTCTGCTCTGCTTTGTGCCCCAAAGGTTGTCCCATAGGAACTGCAGTATGTGGCTTCCTTGTCCTCTGGCTCCTGTTTGTGTCAGCTTAATGGAAGGACCAGTATGATATAAGAAAGCAGGATGAGAGAGGTTTCATCTCCTGGCTCCCTTCCTGCCAGGCAACTTTTTGGAAGAGGCTGCTTTCTCCTCTCTAACGTCACTGCTCCCATTGGGTGATTTCTCTCCATCACTGCAAGTTCGCCCCAATTCTGGCAACAGCTTCTACCCCTTGTCACTTCAGGCCCCTCCCTTGCAACTTTCCACTGCTGCTGGTTGTGTGTGTTTTACTATCATATTTTACTTCTCTTAACCATACCCACATCTTTGAAAATAGCCCTTCATTAAACTCTCTTCGATTACCCCTTTATGTACTACCTGCTTCCTGCCAGGAGTGCAATGACTACACTTGGTTCCCATGAGAACATCCTCTCCTGCTTTACCTCAAACCTTTCTGCTCATTCTCAGCCCCTCTCTCTGCCTGCCTCTTAGGTGCAGGTGCACCCATGATTCCACCTGCAGCCTCCTCTCCTCTTCCTTCAACCACCCTTCCTCTTTGATCTCATCCACCAGCCGATCAATGTCTGTAGATGCCTCTTTCATGATTTCCCAAACTACATCTTTTTCTTATAAAATGAATAATAAAAAAATTAGTATATACACAGAAAAAAATTTGAAAAATAAAGCATAAAGAATTCTTCTGACCTAGAAATAATCATTTAATAGTTTTGTGTATTTCCTTTCAGGTTTTTATTATTATTTAAATTTTTTTTGTGCGTGTGTGTGTGTGTGTAAGGTGTTTTAAGACAAACAACTCAGGATCATGCTACACATGATGTCTGAATCTTGCTTTTCTTCTTGAATATGTTCTCATTTCCTTAGTTTTCATAGAATAGCTATGGTATATTATCACCTGAATGCACAACAATCCAGAATTTGCTTAGTTAGGTAATTAAACAAATACTTATTATTGGATATTGGAATTGTTTCCAAGTTTGGTACTAAAACAACACTGAGATAGGCATATTAATACATAAACATTCTTTTAGATCATTGATTATTCCTTTGGATTGATTGCTGGTTGTTGAATTGATGTTGCATGCAAGGGGTTTCTCTAAGGCTTTTGATACAAGTTCCTAAATTGCCTTCTGGAAAGGCTGTATCGATTTTCAGACCTGCTAGATTTCTAGACAAATGTCCATGATGCTGAATCCTTGCCAATTGTATTCTACTACTAAAATAACTTAGCTAGTTCGGAAACAGTGGTATCAGACCTTTATCTTTAACTGCATGTCTTTCTGTGACTAGAAATCCAACAGAGACCTCAAACTTAGTACATCTAAAACCAAATACAGAATCTTTCCCCTTCTTGTTGACAACTTTTCCTAGAATTCTTATCCAAGCTAACAGACTCTTCAATAAACCTAATCACCTAAACTGAAGCCAGTAAGTCACTGCTATGGACTGAACTGTGTCCCCCTCCAAATTTATATGTCAAAATCCTACTCCCCACTAAACTGGTATTTGGAGATGAGGCCTTTCGGAAGTAATTAGGTTTAGATGAGGTCATGATGGTGGGACCCTAATAGTGGGATTAGTTCCCTTATAAGAAGAGACATCAGAGATCTTGCTGTCTCTCCCTGACATGTGGGAGGCCTTTCTGAAGTAATTAGGTTTAGATGAGGTCATGATGGTGGGACCCTAATGGTGGGATTAGTTCCCTTATAAGAAGAGACATCAGAGATCTTGCTGTCTCTCCCTGACATGTGAGGACACATTGAGAAGGCAGATGACTACAAGCTGGGAAGAGGGATCTCATCAGAAACTGACCATGCTGGTCCCTTCATCTCAGACTTCCAGCCTTCAGAACTGTGAGAAAATAAATTTCTGTTTTTTAAGCCACCCAGTCTATGGTATTTTTCTATAGCAACCAAGCAGACTGAGACAGCCACTAAGGCTGTCAGTGGAGCTCTGCAATACTTATGGACTCTAATTCATCCTATCCAACCTTACTGCTGGGGTCAGACAAGCAGCCTGCTCAGGTGGTTACTATAGAGCTTTCTGCTTTTATTTTCCTGTTCCTGCAATCTACTTTTCACTCTTACATCAGAGTTTTTTTTTTAAAGATACAAATGCTCCTTTTTCTTAAGCATAAAAGAATATATTCATTATGAAAATATCATAAAAGAATCAAGATAAAAATAAAAATCACCCATGATGTCACCATCCAGAGAAGAGATAGTTGAAAACAAGGATGCACCAAATTAAGCACAAAAGAAACCACCACCCCACTTCACTTGATAATGCCACTTCCTGTGGAAACATGGCAAATGTCTCCTAATTCACTGAAGGAGAAAGTGTGCATTCTTTGAGGTGACATAAACATGCTCATTACAATCCATCACTAGGTTATACCTTAGCTTCTTTCTCCATCCCATCTTCCGTTCCTTCTCCTCCATGTACCCTGTGCTACAGCGACAACCAAACATTGCTCCTCCCACAAACCCATTCATGGCTCTCTGCCCCTGCACACAGAGCTGCTTCTGTCTGAGATGCCTTCCCCATTCCTTGGCGCAGCCACCTCTGACTCATCCTTCATTCAAGACGCAGGTTAGTTACATTCAGCAGATATTGATGAAGCTACTAATGATGTGCTGCCGTCAACACCAGGCACTGGTGAAACGCTAGAGCTAAAAGCTTTTCTGCCTTTGGGACGTTATAATTCTAAGGGAAAATACATGTAAGTACGTGAATACTTTCCAATATAATGTGGTTGATACAACAATGGAGGTATGCAGAGTGATAAAGAACTGAAAGAAAAAGTTCAGTGAGAAAGGGGAGCGATCAGGAAAGGCTTTCAGACCTGGATCTTGATGATTAAGATCTCAATGATCTCACACAGAAGACAGATATGAGTTTCCAGGCAAAGGAGTGAGCACTAAGAGTTAAATAACATGGTGTGCACGGCAGACACTAAAGGTGTCCGTCCAGACCCCCTTGGATATCTCCTTCTCACCTCTGTGTCCTTTAGTTTTTAAACTGCTAACTTGACATGTGTCAATACACCAATCTAAGTAGGAAAGGCAGAAGGGGGTAATGAAAAGGGCACAATCACAGGATAAAGGAGTTAGACTCTAGAAATGCAATTTGACAGGATCACTTTAACTTCTCTGGGCCCCTCTGCTTCCTCATCTCTAAAATGGTAATAATTATTCTCTGTTAAACTCACATGACCATTGTGACAAAACCGTTGAGTAGATTCATGTAAAAGTATCACTTGTTTTTAAAGGACAATTGGACATAAATGTTATTACAAGGAAGTTTGGGGTTTATTTATTTATCTTATTTTTTATTTCTCAAAATACATTGTACTTGATTTTCATGCCCCATTACCTGTTCCTCTGCATTCCCCCCTCCACCCCCCACGTCGTATCTGTTCACTTGACTTAAATAGTGCAAGGAATTTTTGTGGTTATTCTGTCTTCTTTTTAGTTTGATATAATCCCATTTGTTCATGTTTTCTTTGTTGCCTGTGCTTTTGGGGTCATATTCATAAAGTCTTTACCTAATCCTACATCCTGAAGTGTTTCTCCTATGTTTTGTAATAGGAGATTTATAGTTCATATATAAGTCTTTAATCTGTTTTGAGTTGATTTTGGTATATGGTGAGAGGTATGGGTCTAGTTTCATTCTTCTACATGTGGATTTCTGGTTTTCCCAGCACCATTTATTGAAGAGGCAGACTTTTACCCAATGTATGTTCTTGTTGCCTTGGTCAAAGATCAGTTGGCTGTAGCATGTGGGTTGATTTCTTGGTTCTCTATTCTGTTCCATTGGTCTGAGTATCTGTTTTTATGCCAGTACCATGCTGTTTTGGTCACTATAGCTTTGTAGTATAGTTTGAAGTCAGGAAGTGTTATGCCTCTGACTTACTTTTTTTCTTTTTGCCAAGGATTGCTTTGACTATTTGGTGTCTTTTGTTGTTCCATGTGAATGTCAGGATTGTTTTTTCTATTTCTGTGAAGAATGTCATTGGTATTTTGATGGGGATTGCACTGAACCTGTAGATCACTTTGGATAGTATGGACATTTTCACAATGTTTATCCTTCCTATCCAAGAGCATGGAATTTGTTTCCATCTTTTTGTATCCTCTTTAATTTCTTTCAGCAGTGATTTGTAGTTCTCATTGTAGAGATCTTTCATCTCCTTGGTTAAATTCATTTCTGAGCATTTCCTTTTTTTTTTGGTGACAATTTTATATGGGTTTGCTTTCTTTTTTTTTTTTTCCTTTTTGTCTTTTTTCGTGTCCGGCAACGGACCGCAACCCTCAGTGTTACGCCCGTACCGGACCGGGACCAGCAATGGTGATCACAACCCTCGGTGTTGCGTCCGCACCTCGCTCAGCCAGTGAGCGGGAACCGGTCTGTATGTGGGATCCGAACCCTCGGCGGGAGTGCCACCACGCTCCCAAGCGGCGCACTGTAGCAGTGCGCCACCGGGCCGGCCCTGGGTTTGCTTTCTTGCTTTCTTTTTCTGCTAGTTTGTTATTGGAGTATAAAAATGCTATTGTTTTTTGCGTGTTGATTTTATATCCTGCAACTTTATGCAATTGTTAATCAGCTCTAAGAGGTTTTTGGTAGAGTCTTTAGGTTTTTCTCCATACAGGATCATGTCATCTACAAACAGGGAAAGTTTGACTTTGTCTTTTCCAATCCAGATGCCCTTTGTTTCTTTCTCTTGCCTGATTACTCTTGCTAGTGCTTACAATACTATGTTAAATAGAAGTGGTGATAGTGGGCATCCATTTCTTATTCCTGTATCATTCAGGATGATGTTAGCACTGAGTTTGTCATATATGGCTTTTATTGTGTTGAGATACTTTCCTTCTGTAGCTAATTTCCTAAAAGTCTTTATCATGAAGCGATGTTGAATTTTGTCAAATGCTTTTTATGCATCCACTGAGATAACCATATGGCTTTTGTCCTTGATTTTGTTGATGGGGTATATCACATTTATTGACCTGTATATGTTGAACCATCCTTGCATCTCTGGGATTTACACTCAATCATGGTGTATAATTTTTTTGATGTGTTGCTGCATTCTGATTCCTAATATTTTGTTGAGAATTTTTGCATCTATGTTTTTCAAAGATATTGGCCTGTTGTTGATATTTTGTTGTATCTTTGTCTAGTTTTGGTATTAGGGTGATTCTGGCCTCATAGAATGACTTTGGGAGAATGGCTTCTGTTTCAATTTTTTGGAATAGTTGGAAGAGAACTGGTATTAATTCTTCTTTAAAGGTTTGGTAGGGGCTGGCCCGGTGGCGCACTGCTACAGTGCGCTGCTTGGGAGCGCGGTGGCGCTCCCCCCGAGGGTTCAGATCCCACATACAGACCGGTTCCCGCTCACTGGCTGAGCGAGGTGCG